TTTAAGCAGAGGTTTAAAATTTTTTGTAACATTTTGTAGAAAGAAGAAGTAATTGAATTATCTTAACTTACTATACTTTAAAATAAATAGTACTTTAAGAATTTTGTGTCAATTAAAATTAATTTTAATTTACAAACATTTTACCATCTCAGGAAGTTTGGTGTATTCCAATTCACTGAATGTTGCCTCAGTCAAGCATCAGATGAATATTGAGATGATTGACATCAATAATATAAATTGAAAGAATATAGTTTTTTACTATAAAGTGTTGCGTTTCTAAATACATTCCCTTCTGCTGTATGAGTTTAATCAGGATCAAAGTCAGCAGAAAAATATTAAACCCTTCAATATTTTAAAATCTTTAACAAAAGACATACTGGCTTTATTCTAAAGCCTAAATTTCTTCTGTTTAGTTAGTATTATTAGTTAGCAAAAGAGAGCTATTATCTTCGCAGTGCTCCGCTCCATTTTGATCCCAGTTCTTCATTTACTTTTTATTCTGTTCTGATTAAAAACATTTAATATTAAAAAATATTATAAAATAGTTTGATTAATTTTTTTTAAAAATTGGGAAGTGTGTTTTTAAAATTTTCAAATTTGCTTAAACTAATCTAAATATATTTAAACCAACATTAGTCATTTTTTGATTTATAATTATTATTACTTTTAATTAAATTTGTTTAGTTTTTATTTTTTTGGTTTTTTATTTTTTTTTTATTTGCTTATGTTTATTTTTATGACCACACAACTACAAGTTGAAGTTAGTCAAATATAATGTTTTTAAATTTTACTTCTAAAAATATAATATCTTTCATCTTGAAGTGCTCGCGATATACAACAAAATACTAAAGAACCATAAAATGTTAAGTTCAAAAACGTTCAAGAAAACAATAAAAAATTGAAAATTAAAACTGGAAAAAAATTGGAAACGAAGTCGAAAAAATTAATGAAGTCGAAATCTACCAAACGGTGAGAGTGAATTCACATGCTAACTTCACCTGGCCGGTCTGGGTTCAGTGTTGTCTATATACAAGCATTCGTATGTGCAACACGAATATCGACTAAAGCGCACATGCGGTGTCTTCATTAATTTCCGACTATGTGAAAAGAATTAAATAATAGAATTTCGCTTTCATTTTTCCCACCGAAATTTGAAATTATAAACAATTCCAACAATTAATAAGCTTTTCCTTCAATACGGCAGCAACGATTGTCTGGGTTTGTATTGTGTGATTTTGTGATTTTGTGTAGGCAAAATCGCCGCCGTTTGTTGTTAGTACAAAAAGAAAGTTTGTCGCTTAAGTCTTTTGTTAGCGGCTATATTTGGGGAATTGAATTTAAGTTTTAGTTGCTTGCTCATCAATAAAAAATTTAGTATATTTTGATTTTTATTTTTATGTTTTTTTTTTAATTTAGTTAATTAGAGACCATCAAATGATAACTATGTTATATAAATTGAACATTTTGCGAAATTTTTTTTTTTAATTTTATAATTATTAAAAAATTTTTAACAGTTATTTTGTTGTTTTTGCTTTTCCTTTCATATTTAAGAAAGAAATTTTCATTTGAAGAAAATTAGTTGTGATTAATTTTACGTGCTTAATATTTAAAATACTACATAAACCAGTTTAGTCAATCACATTCTGTTAATAGTTCAAAATTCAAATAAAATTATTTATATAGAAATAAAAGCTAATAAAAGTTAATGCCAAAAATTTACAGAGAAAGTGACTAGAGTGGCAATAAAAAAAAAATAAAAATACTCACAATCCATATTAGAAGTTTCATGTTTTTTCGCCATAGTTTTTTGTTTTATGGCTTTTGTTATTATTTTTCACTTTACCAGATCCATATTTGGATAAGTAAGATTTGCATTTTTACTTTCACAACAATTATTTTAATTTTTATGAGGTCAAATACATTACTATTATAACTAAAAATGCATTAAATAGGTCAAGTAATTAATACAAAAAAAAATAGTTTCTTTGCTTATTTGAGTTTAATTAATAAATTCTCAAAAAATGCTAAAGTTATGAATGGTAATGATAATTGGGTGCCGGTAGCTCAAGTATAACATATTCATTCAGAAGTTCCTCTTTTACTGTACAGTAACTAATACAGTACAATACAGCACGAATTGGGTTTAAAAACTTTTTTATTTCATGTTAAGATATAATAAAAGGTAAATGATGCATTACTTTTATGTATTTTTGTTAAAACGCCTCGGGTTAATTTTTTTTCATTTTTCTGCAGGGGATACTTGTAGTATTTGCAAAGTAATAAAACTACCCAAGGCTTTTTTATTTAAATTGTTATTCTCAAGAATATATGTGCCCTTGTTAAGTGTACTCAATCCCTGACTGCAGCTTTATTTAACCTACATTTAAAAATGTAGGTAAAGTTTACAAATTTGTAAAATGTAAAAAATGTACTTCACAATATAAACATAGAAATAATAAAAATGCTATTGGTATTCACTCAATAGATACTTAATACCTTTAGAGATCATTAAAGATTGTGTTAAATATTATAGCAAAAAATTTTTTTAAAGTTATATCTTGAATCAAACATCGGACTTATTTAAAGACTTTTATTCTATAAAACTATCAAAATACAAATACATAAAAAAATAAGATATAGAACTAATAAACAATTTATAGATATCATTACTTATTTATGGGCCTTGACGCTTAAAACCAACTATAATAATTAAAAAAAATGCAAAAGCTTTTGGACTAACTTCCACAGAGTATGAGTGATTTAAAGGGATCTAAAGCAAGTATGCACAAATGTTTTCCAACAACTATAGTTACTATAGTTACCAATAATTTTTATTAGTTAAGATTATTTATATAGCTGTGGTTTATACTTAACTTCTTAAAATAATACAGCAAGTGCAAATGTTAATTATAAGTAAACAATATGATTGATAAAGCTCTAAATTTAAATAATACAATTTAAGTGCACGTTGGCTTTGTATAATAAAACGCAAGACATCGATCCAAATTGTACAGGCTTCAATTTCTGTTACTTCAAAAATTAGAAACAGATAATGGATGTTTCTAAAGACTACTAGCTGCATGCAATATTGGCCAAACCTGGGAGTTTCTTTATATCTTGATCATCATTATCATCTTCGTTATACAGTCCATAAAGGATCTAAGCCTGTTTTATGACATTCCTCAAATCTTCTCTATTATTCTTCTTATTCTATTCTTCTTCTTCTCTATGGCTTTTATATTCTAGTTGATGACATTGATATCTCTCAGATCTTGTTAAAAATTGGCACTCCATCTTTTTCTCGGGCTTCCTTTCTTCTGATTTTTCTAACTTAGCTCTCGAAGATTCTGGCTGTTGCTCTTTCTTCTGGTATTCGCACAACGTTTGCTACCCACTTTGCCTTTCTTTTCTATGTGCTTGATTATTATGTCACCTTCCATCAGTTTGATCGAGTTCATCATTATATCTTATGCGATATTTTCCGTTTTCTTGCACTGATCCAAATACTTTTCTCAAAATTCTTCTTTCAAATACCATCAGTTTGTTTGCCACGGCATCAATTAATATAATTGTTTTATATAACAAAATTTTTTTTTATATCTTGATATCAACATGTATTTCGATTAGTATAGTGTCTTTTTTGTGAATCTTTGTTAGTCTATATATTAAAAAGTTAAGCATGAGATTAATTATAACGAATGATACTTAATCATCTTGCCCTACAAGTTCTTGTTAAGCTGCCAAATTACATACTCTGTATCGAAATAGTTGAAACAAATTTCTCGGGAATTATTATTAGTAAGCCTACTATTTTCTTTGGTATACCATATATGTAAGTGGAGTGCTTTCTAAACGATTGTTATTTCATGTTAACAATGGCTTGTTCGAAATCTATTAATGACCAATGTAGGTTTGGTATGTGGGGAAGACATTTTCCGGTGACATATGCAATCAAAAAAATACTGATCAATAAGCTCTGCTTCTTACTTTTGGAGATCTGCATTATTACAGTACTAAACCAACTAATGTTACATCGTTTACTAATTCTATGAGGATGTCGGTTACGATTTTCTACATTATATATAAAAATTATATTCCCTTGTAGTTTGAGCACTCGGTGCTATCGTTTGTCTTGACTATAGAATGCTTTAGAATCTTATTCTGCGCGTTGGGCTCATTTTGTTTTATCGAGATAGTAATGAGAACTTAATGCAGATTAATACAAATTCTACTTTAGTACATAATAATTAAAATTGCTTTACATAACTGCTTTAATTTTTTCCCAAATTTAAGAATTTTTCTTTAGTGAATACAAACTAACAGTGATGAATACAAACACTTGTGATTTATTAATCGAACAATTCAAATATAATTTAGAACTATTTTTTAAGCTAATTCCAAAAATCTTCGAGTGCATGCACATTTCTAAAGCACGATATGACGACATATCATGTCAAACCTAATAAAATTATAGAAGTAAATAAAATAAAATATTATGTTGTGAAGAAGTCATTTTGTTGTTTCTTTGACACTCAAAAGTAAACTTATAACCTTCTCGTGTCTGTATCTTCAACTGAGTATCTGTATATGAGTATCTTAACAGTTTGCAATTCTTTTAGTTATGTTCTTCGTGCTTCATGACAAAACAAAGTGGAGTTTATTTTAAGAAATCTATATGATATGTTCACGTTAATGATGTTAACAGTGTCTTCTTTATCATGTACCGTTATAAGTAGAGGTTCAGGTGTGCGTGTGTAAAATAATAAATACCAGACACCAAAAACGTTGTTAAAAAACTGCTCCCGCCAATAAAAATAAAAATAAAAACAAAAAATTAAAATTAAAATCAATTTTCACAGTAAATATTTTTGTAATCTCATATATCAGGTTATATACATCTCTATTGTTATTAAAGTTAAAAATTTAAAATATTTTTATTTAAATTTTAGCGGTTGAATTAAAGAAATAGAAATTGATTTAAAATTTATATTTTTTTTCAGTTAATAGCCGCAGTTCTCATTATAACCTTAAATGCAGAAATGTTGACAGCAGCGCTGTGGTCAAATTATGGCACCGAACATCAAAAGAAATGCAGCGGAGGCACAGGTTTGAAATATTTATCCGGCGATGCACTTACAGATTCACCAGACTGCTTAGGACCTAATAATTCACCCTATCCAAGGTTAGTAAAATTAACAAAATAATCTATTATTACAATGAGTTAAATGATTAAACAGAATCTATGAGAATTGTTTATCTTCTTTATTTGATTTGTAAACAGATGAGAATAGTAAGATATATATTTAATATATATATATTTATAGATATATAGATATATATTTATATATTTAATGATTTTCGATTTTTCAATTACATGGCCTTATCATGGAAACGGTATAAAAACAGAGCAAGAATAATTTTTTTAATTAAAAATTATTACGTTCCTAGATTAGGTTCTATACATAAGAAAGAACAAATCATGCCACAAATAATGCCTCTACGAACAGTATAGTATTGAAATTTAACAATTAAAAATAAAAATATAATTAATTAATTAATTCAATTATTCTACTGGTTTATGTTTATGATTTCGTTCTAATATAAACACAGCAAGTAAAATTGTTAATAAAAACTACGTCAAGTACGGTTTTGAATCAGTTGGTTAAGGTGCGATGATTCTCAGCTTCACATTTTGCAGGACCCGAGTTCGAATCCTGGTACTTGCAGTCTCAAAAATAATTATTTACGAATAATTAAATATTATTTCCAAGACCACTGATGATGGGTATTTGGCAATACTCGAAACAGCTCTATGGTCAGCCAAAAATTCAATTAATTAAAATAATATAAAAAATAAAATTTTTGTTGTTGTATTTCACTACTGTTCGAAAAACATCTTTATTAAAAATTATTGTAAATTATTTTTGTCAATTTATTTGACATAGAAACAAAAACAAAATTACTCTGAAATAAAGTTCTTCTTAAAGTCTATTTTAGCACTCAGAGTAGATTCATAAAAATCAAGTATAATTGCGTATAAATATTTTTCTCTTACACTACTTACACGCATTCACATTCGCCCCAGAAAGGATTCATAAGTGTTTTCGTTAACACCGAGTGGCGGTGTTTATGAGTATCGTGTAAAAACAGTATAAATAATTATAAGTGCTGTTAGCTGTATATATAAATGAGACGGAATCGAATATACGAAAAAGAGAGTTACAATGCGTATAAGTAAAATACAGCCGAGTGAGTGCAGTTCTCTGTTATGAACCATACCTTGATCACCGATCCATTTGAGGGTGTGTGATTTCCTATATGCTCGCTATTGCTATATCCATGTATAATAGCCAAAATATGGTTCTATCATGAGTTATAACACCTCTATTTTTTTACAATAGATAGAGAATTAATAACTGAGTGACCTCTAATTTTTGTTTATATCTTTACATATAATAAAACATTTTTACAGAAAAACTGATTACTGACAAAAATGCAATACTAAGTAGTTAATGACAAAAATATTTGTCACAATTCATGATAATTTTGTCTCTAGTTGAATTTTTATTTCAGTTGATAATTGTTATTATTATTATTACCATAATTTTTATTATACTTTTATCCATTTTTACATCAGTTGGTTAAGAACTAATAGAATTGGTACCTTTTTTATTAGAGACAAATTTCTTGATTAAGTTTTATATGGTGTTTTATTTAAGTAAACTTAAGTGAAAAATAAGTAAATAGGCAAAGTACTAGGAATGATTGATTTATTAAATGAGAAAATGGGACCATAAGTCCATTGTGCCCTGCAACACAATAAGACTCTAAAATAATAAGAATCCGTTTGTAGTGCCGTTCACGTTTTTCACTTATAAAAGTCGGGCCTACTATAGAGCTCTATAGTTGAAAATTAGATGCTTTATTTTTAGTCATTTTATATTTACAGTAGTTCTAGTGTCTACATTCCTCCGAGTAAGAGATGATTAGTTGATTTAAAAAAAGTGAGGATATAAATGAAGAGCAATACGTTGGTCTACCGAAATAAGTGATGAGTGTAGATATAATCAACACTTTGTATTAACTCATCCAAGATGCAAATCTTAATTGAAAGTCATAGAATTAGAATTGACCTAAGATTTGGGTTATTGAAAAGTCTATGCAGTGTTTTTTACACAAGTCAATCAAAAATTGATCTCATCGATTGACTTTTGGAACCGATAGTTTAGCTGAATTTGGTGCCGTGTGACTTTTAACCATCCAGGGCGTTTTTACGTATACTTCGTATATAAAAAGTTTAGTTTTATTCGTTCAACTATCATTGAAACTTAAAAGTTGTTTTTTTATATTGGATTTTTACACTGGATATATAAATATAGTCTCTATATATTCTGAATTTATATATAATTGATTATTTATAATCTGTCAACAAATTTATATGTAAGTATTTATGTGTGTGTCTTATTATAATTACAGTGCGGCAGTAGCGCGAACGTTTTCAAACTGGAATGGAAGCTCAAGAAGGGGTCGTCAAAGTAAAATAACAACAACACTTGATCCAGCTATAACAACAAGCGCTCTACTTAGGGCGTATGATGAAGTAAACAATGATGCTGTTGGCAGTAATCGTTATGGTGAGTTTATAAAAAATTTGATATATATGTGCATATACATAGTATGCATAGAAAATATATTTATACATTTCAATATAACTTATTCTATTTAGGACGCTCGATTAAGAACTCTCAAACTAACCAGTGCAATGGAACACCTGCACGTCTTTGTAAGACACGCTACAATACAACGGCGCCAATGTATGGTGTTAGCTTAACTTCTGGGCAACCTGTTACGATTGTGCAAAAGTTTCCAGATCTACTCCAACAAGTTGTATTCGAAGTGTGCGAGTAAGTTTTTTAAGCATAGAAAATGATAATACCTACACACTTTATTTGAAAATATTCAATATACAATACAAGAATATCTCCAAAATGATATTTTTCTTACTTTGTTTTTGGTTTTATATAGATCATCAGAGTGTGATGTAGTTCGAGGAGAATGTACCCAAACATATGTACCCTATTTATTCTTGGTCATACCGCTTGGACCTGTTACATTAACTGGTCAGGACTACGTCCTTGTTGAGAGTGGTTGTGTTTGTAAGCCTAAATACTCTACGGGTGCAGCTCAGGAACCAAATATGATACCATAGGCATTTTAACGAACCAACCAAATGTACTGATATGGAGTAAGGGATTATTGATGTGTGCTTGAAAGAGCCTAAAATTATACGTACATATAAATATTTATAGAATTGGTAACTTCTGTACAATATTGTTTAATTACTTAAAAAGAAATTAAATGTTTAACTCAAATGCAAATAATTTATTAAATTAAGACAATATATTAAGCAATTTTTCGAAAATATTATTTTTTCAAAAAATCGCATTTCGTATGTCTTCCTACTTTTAATTTAAGTCTATAAGATAGATTTTAAGAATAATAATTTATATAAAATAAAATATTAATTTAAATGAAAAAAATTAATTTATAAATAAAATTAATGTAGTTTGAAAATAATTGCAATAAGTCGTCGTCAAATATTTGCAATAAATTTAAGAATTTAAAATTATAATAGTTTGCATGGATATTTTTTAATGGAATAATAAAATTTGTTAACTGCTTAATTTTTGAATAAATTATTTATTAATCAGTTTAGTATAAAATTATTTATATTCTATAAAAATTGCTTTAACTGTTTGCAATTGATTATATATTGAGCAGATATACTTATTTATAATAAAAAATTTTTAAAATTAATAAAAAAAAATATCAATACCGAATACCGATTATTTTTTATTTAATGAACTGTGCGAAATATTGTACGCAATATTTTTTTTTAGTTTTTGATAAAAAAAATAATTTTATTTTTTGGTGTATTTTATTTTGTTTTGATAAATAAATTCACCATAGATTCATATATAATCTTTCAGATTATGCAGTCCAAACCGATTACACTAATAGTGTTTTCGATTGGTAATTCTGGGGTAATATTTTTAATCAACATTCAATTACAGTACAATTTTATATTTGATTGGTAAATCTGTACAACACTCGAGATTAATTTATAACACTCGAGATTAATTTATAACACTCTAGATGTTTTGACGATAAATATATCCATAATATAATAGAGCCATAATATAAATTATTGTATTCTCATCAAAGTTATGTTAAATATCAGAATCAACATTTCCAAATTAATGAATTCACTGAAGGATAAGGTCTGATTATTTTTTTTTGTATTCGCTGAAATATCAGCTGATTTTTATTATTGTGAAGTGCTGCACAAAACTTAAAATAAATTTGAAATTTGGCGCATTTGAAAGACTAATAAACAGAGAAATAATAAAAGAAATAAAAAGTTAAATAATAAGTTTAACTTATATTTAAATTTTACTTTTATTGCAAAGTTGCTGCTTTTGTGTAAGACAAAACAAGGAAAAACAAAATTAGCTGACTTGGTAGTTCAATTTTACAAAATTGCTGAAAAATAGAGTTATTATTTTATTACATTACGGAATAACGAGTTCACAAGCTACGTCTGAATAGCGTTTAAGTTTATATTTACAATTATCGCAGTTAATGAGCACATTTTTATATTTATTGCTGTAATTTTTTCTTACAGACTTGTGAAAAAACAGCATTAAGTCTGGTTGAAACAAATTGGCATCACTATTAAAATATGTTAAATACTTTTTTTTGACATATGTTTTTGTTGTGTTGTATATTATATAAAATTTAAAAATTGTAAACACTGAAAATTAATTAGTTTAAATAAAAGAAAACAATATGAACATTAGAAGGGCAAAGATAAACATTTGTGTCTTATATATTTAAATTAATTTATTTATTATGTATTTGAATTTATTAATAAAATGCTTCAATGATTTTAAGGGATGATTGGAATTTTGCAATATATTTCCAGTGAACATTCACAATAGACTAATTTTTGAATTTCGCTACACTAAAACTTAAGTCGTAAACATTTTTGCAAATAAAATCCTATTCTGAAGATTTAAGAGCATTGTTGTTGCTTCGCATATTTCTTTTGTAAGTTGCGAGTTTTTGCTACTCTGCAAGAAAAAATTGTGGCTTATACGCGAAAATATGCTCTTTCGTCTGCACATTTTACGAGTTAATTACGATATTGTTAACGCACTGTTAAAACATTTTAACTTCTATAATGTATATGTAATATTTTTGCAGATAACAAACAAAATCAAAAATTCTTTTTTATTTTTATTTTGCAACTCTCGATACTCCGGTTGACTGCCACCTAGGTGTCATATTCCTTTCAGCAATTTAATATAGGCAATGCTCCTGCACTAACGAGTAATTCAACGAAAGAGGCAGCACTCGTTAATAGTTCTTCGTTGCGTCTCCATTTTGCACCGCGGCCGCATGAAAATTCTATAACTTATAGAAAATTTTGCAAACGTTTGCATTGCGAGGAAATCTAAAATAATATTGTTAATACTAGTTATTAACTCGCGGCATTCCGTAGAAAATTTTGCTATTTGGTGAAGTTCTTATAAAAATAGAATAAATAGCAAAACTTGCTGCTAGGAAGTATTGCAATTGTGGTTGCTGCGCTGCCGGGTGAATAAGGAATACAACAATTTTTTTTTTTTGTAATGGAGAAAAGTGGATTTAAATAAAATAGATTTTTCAATTAATTAAACAGTTTCTTTATTCCAATCAAAATGATGTTTACAGTAAGTTTAAGATTAATTATTAAGAAAATTATATCGAATTAATTACATATGATTAATACAAAATATTTTAATTTACATAAATAATAAGTAGTCGACATATAATTCAATCATAAAATTCAAAAATCAGAAATATTTATAAAATTGAATGAAATATAAAATTTTTATCACTTAGTAGGCGTATCTTTATCTGAGAAATATTGCATTATTTGTATTTGAAGTTAGTGTGATTGTGTTAATTTTTACATATTCGGTAACCTCTTAAAAAAAAATGGTGTATTATTGTTTAATAAAGGTTGTAATATTACAATTAATTAAAATAAATAATTAACTAGTTATAAATAATTGACTAGTTGCGATTTTTTGCCACAATATGTTTTTTGCTAAATAACCAAAATAATAATTTTGATGAATTTCTTGCAGGGCACAAACCAACAACAAGATACTCGCTTCAGCGACAAGGAAAAAAAGCTTATGAAGCAAATGAAATTTGGGGATTGTCTAAATAAGCGTGTGGATATGTCGAAAGTAAAGCTGGATGTTTTGAGACCTTGGATAAGTAAAAAAATCACTGATATTCTTAACATCGAAGATGATGTTGTCGTGGAATTTGTGTATAATCAACTCGAGGAGGAGAAATTTCCTTGCCCAAAAAAGATGCAAATCAATATGACAGGTTTCCTCAATGGCAAGAATGCCCGTCAATTTATGGGAGAATTATGGTCTTTACTATTATCTGCTCAAGAAAGCGAAAGTGGTATACCAGCTGAGTTTATACAACAAAAAAAAGAAGAAATATTAAGAAGAGAAGATGAACTTAAGCATGAATCGTCTCGTCGTAATGATCACTCACGTTCACGTGATAGAGATAAAGATATTGATCGCGAAAAAAGAAGTGGTGGAAGAGAGCGTTCAGATGAAGTTATGTCACAGCGTGAACGAGAACAGCAATTACCATCCAATACATTAAGTGCTATAGAGCATGTAAGGTCGCAATTAGCTGCAAAATCAAGATCGGCTTCTACAGAACGAAATAATGTAGGTACTAATATTTCTAAAGATAAGCCAGGTGTTTTAGATAACGATGTAGCTAGTGTAGTAACTAGCAATAGAGATCGTTCGAAGTCTCCTAATTCTAGGTCTGCAGCTACAGAAACTGCTGCAACTAAAACGCGTAATCGTTCACCTCGTAAGCGAACAAGAGAGAGATCTATAGTACGGGGATCATCACGCGAAAGGTCATCCCCTAATCGCCGTCGTAATTCATCTCGAGATAGAAGAAGGTCATCTCGTTCACCTAGACGTCGTTCACCTGATCACAATAGACGTCGACGTAGCAATTCAAGAGATCGTGGTAATCGTCATCACCAATTGAATCGTAGAAAATCACGTTCAAATTCACCGGTGAAACGTCGAGATAATTCACGTAATGGAAATCAACGTTCATCAAATAGAAAATCTAGATCTAAATCTGCTGAAAAACGTAGGTATTCTCCCAAGCGTACATCTCCACGTAGAAAACGTTCAGGTTCGCGTAATTCTAATGCAGGCAAACCTATAAATGGTCATGAAGAAGTCAAAAAATCTGTTACAAAATTAGATGAAAAACCTGTGGAAAATAAAAAAGGAAAAAATAAATCACCATCATTTAGTCGTAGTTCGAAGTCTCGTTCTTCATCGGTGGAGGTAAAAAGGAATAGAGTTTCCAAATCTAAATCGAGATCAAGGTAACAAGTAACTATACTTTATATTTTTTAAGTAGTACTAATTATTTTTTTCTAATCAGGTCAAATGGTAAAAAATCAAGAATGCCGCCGTCACGTCAACGTTCTAATAGGTCAGCTTCACGGTCCTCAGCTGGTTCAGCACCAAAAAATAAAACAAGGCGCTCGCGTTCTGCAAACACCAGCATTTCTTTGTCACCAGAACCGCGTAATGATGAATTTGAAATACGCAAAAATAAAAATAGTGTTCAAAAGAAACGACAATATCGCAATAATCGCGATTCATCGGGAAGTTCCGTCGAGAGAGATGCTGGCAGGAGACAAAACGATGGAAGACGTAGAGATCCTCCTGGTAGGCGAATGATGTCACCCCGAGGAAAAAGTCCTCGTAATGATGGAGGAGGGCGGAATCAACGTTCGCGTTCACGACGACGATCGAAATCACGCAATAGATCTCGCTCCCGTTCACCAATGCGTCGCTCACGCTCTCCAAGAAGGTAAGTGAAGATGGAAAATATTTTTTTTATTTATTTGTGAAGTTTTATTGATTATTTTAATCGATTTATAATAACAAAAAAAGGAAATTTAGCTATAAATTATTTCAATACATTGGTTATATTCTTGTCTACAATATTATTCTAAGGGAATAATGAGTTGGTAAAAATTAATATAATAAAATGCATACAACAGCATTATAGTGAACATGAAAATTACTCCGCGGACTAATCCAATGTAATGCCGTAACGCTGTATAAATGTAACCATTAATTTGACATAAAGATTTACTACAGTACCGATCAGTACTTATTAGATTGTTATTTATTCATGTATTCTGAATACTATAGTTTTATGCCAGAAATGGTAGTGATTGGTATATTGCACTGCCCTATATATAATACATATGCTTGATATTGTGAATTTTTTGTTCACCATTTCTATTGTTTCTCTGTTATTATACATTTTATAAATGTTAATGAAAATTTTTTTTTTTTGTTTTAATACACAGGTTTAATCGTCGCCGTTCTCCTAATCAATTTTACCGTGGACGTGGAAATAATAATCGTGGTCGCATGAATCAATGGCGTCGGAGTCCAAGTAGGAATCGTGGTGGTAATCAAGACAGGGGACGA